TTCTACCTTATTTCATCTCACCACACAGTCGCCTCTCTCCTCCGGCCCAGGCATTAACGAAATTTCTGTCCCTACATTCTGATGACTGTGGGTGCTGGCATCATGGAGCTCTTCTTTAATGATGACTTTAAGATCCTAAGCCCTGCAAGGCCATGATTATAGGTTCTTCATCCACAAAGTCAGTGGTGGAAAGGATCAGTTTACACAACGTGATGGAAGGTGGTTTTCTTCACTGATAGTCAAAAAGCCAAATATAATCTCTGGCTAGCAGATAAGAAACACCATAGATCATCACTGTATATGTATCCCTCCTTGGAATTTATACTATAACCCTAAAAAGAGGCTATAGATACATTCCAAATTACTCAGCTTTAACTTTTTTGTTTGTTTTACTGAATGGCAAGGCTTTCCTGTCTCTGCAGTTTTCTTTTCTCTGTATGCATTTTCTTCCCAGGTCTGCACAAGCGAGTGACTTTATAATGTGCAAAAACAAAATACATTTTTTAAATCCACATGTATTTAAAAGTTTAAGTCAGGAACCTATAGGGAGTGCTTTAAATGGTCATTAAATTGACACAACCGTCTTCTCAGCTAAAAACGAATGCATTTCATGAGAAGCATAGGGTTTGATGAACCATGAGGAGGCCAGTGAGTATGTGACTCTATGTAGGGCAGCACAGACTCCAGATAATAATTACAGTATTTAAATATGCAACAGAGGGCAGGCATAGCAGGATTACAATTCCAGCACTTGGCAGGCTGAGTCAGGAGGATGGCCACAAGTTTGAGGCCACCCTGAACTACATAGTGAGACCCTGTCTCAAAAAACCAAAAATAAAAATAGAAAGAGCCCAAGGGAGCATCTGCCCAGGATTCAAATATTAGGTGGGTGGCTGGACTCCATAAACACTGAGACTTTGATTCTATTTCCCAATTCTTGTGTACATTGCCACTGAATTAGTCTTCTAGTTAAGCCACTTAGGATGAAATGCCAACTTCAACTCACCAAAGCACCAGTATAGAAAATATGCCATGGCTTTAAGACACACAATTCAAGCTGCAAACACCCAAGGAATTGGACAATGTACAAATGTTTCATAGATTCAGTGAGTACTGCATTAATTACATAAAATACATAAAAATCTTGCCAGGTATGGTACTGTGCACCTACAATCCCAGCACTCAGGAGGCTGAGGCAGGAGGATCACCATGAGTTTAAGGCCAACTTGAACTACAAAGTAAGACCATGCCTCAAAAAACAAACAAACAGGGCCGGGGATTTAGCTCAGTGGTTCCGCTGCCTGCCTTGCAAGTACAAGGACCAGAGTTCCATCCCCCGGTATGGAAAAAAAAACAAACTATAAAAATCTTTAACAAAGGCCTGAGTATTTCTAGACACTGATAATTGCTATGCATTGGATACACAATTATTTGTAACATAACTATCTTCTTTTGGCAGGTTAGCAGATACGGTCACTCTCTTAAACTGTCTCTCCCCCCCACCCTTCTCTCTACACATCCATTTATGTGTGTGTGTGTGTGTGTGTGTGTGTGTGTGTGTGTATGTGTGTCTGTCTGTCTGTCTCTTTCAAAGACACAGCAGCCCTTACACTTAGTGGAAAAAACATTTAACTTCATAAAACAAATGCCCACTAAATTTACCTTGAGACTCACTTTACAGATTGAACAAAATCCAAAAGTTTGATTTATTTTGTTGCCATGATTGTAGGGAAACAGGCATTCTCTGACATTGTTGGTGGCAGTATAAAATGGTACAACCCCTGTGAAGGTCAATTTGGTGATATCTATCAATATTTTACATGCATATAACCTTGACCTACCAACTTTGTGGAATTTATCCTTGCTGATGCACTTGTAAAGGAACAAAATTGCAGGCTACTTGAGGCATATTTGGCAATAGCAAAAAAGTGCTAAAACCAACTCATTGCCTACCAATACAGAATTGGTTCAATAAATTTAAATACTATTTAGCTGTAAATAAATTTTTAAAAGAATGAGGAAGTTCTATAACAGAAATTACTCTGAGATATATTAAATGAAAAAAAGTGTGCTCTATAGCTTGGCACGGTGGTGCACATCCACAATCCCAGCTCTCTGGGAGGCTGAGGAAGGAGGATGTCAAGTTTGAGCCCAGTCTGGGCAACTTAGCAACTTAGCAAGCCCCTGCCTCAAAATAAAACATTAAAAAAGTACTAGAGATGTAGCTCAGTGCAAAGACCCTGAGCTCAATCCCCAGTACTAGGGGAAAAAAATGCACTATATTCCCCCTATGTACTTATAAAGCTCTGAAGGATACACGAGAAACCAAAGCTAGGGGCGGGGTGGGGGGCTGAAGATAGTTGAGAACAGTAGACCTTCGGAAAGGAGTAGAAATGAAATAGGAGATTAGGGCGTGGCGAAGCTGGCTGGGGAAGCAGACTTGTTAATTACAAGATCCCAGAACACATGGGCAAAACAGCCCCCAAAGCCCGCACCTGGACTTCTCTCCAGAACTCCAGCCAGTCTCCAACAAGACAGCCTAGACCTGACGTCAGTGTGAGGGGTGAGACCCCAGCACCGCCTCTCAGGACCCGTATGTGGAAGTTCTCGCGTGCTTCCTCGAGATTTGGACAATATATAAGGACGCAGACCCACAAGTGCCCCTACAGTGACTTTCTTTGTAGTAGTTCGCTCTGCTTTCTTCACGGTTTCTTTCTTCTTCCTTTTATTGCTTTTTCTCCTTTCACTCTGTTCAAGCTCACTCTGCAGAGCCCGTTTCTCCCTTACTCTTCTACTTTCTTGAATAAACTTGGCCACTGCTTTTTGCTCATTTTGTTCAATTCTTTGTTTGAGACGAGAAGAACCTGGAGTCTAACTCCAGAGGGAGAGGTGAACAATCCAGAACCTGGTAACTTTAGTTGGTGAGCCACTTTTAGAAGGAGCTACCTGATAACAGGAGGAGATGTTTTACTATAAGCCTTTTTATATTTTTTAAGATTTTGAATCAAGTTTCCATATTGCCAATTCACAAATTTTAATCAGAATTGTTTTTCATTTAAAAATAAGTATGAGGGCCGGGGATTTAGCTCAGTGGTTTCGCTGCCTGCTGCGCAAGTGCAAGGGCCCGAGTTCAATCCCCGGTACCAATAAATAAATAAATAAATATTAAAAATAGATATGGCATGTCCATACAATGGCTTATTCAGCAAAATGAGACATTAACAACAGACATTTAAGGCCTTACATGTCTATAGCCATGTGAAAGGAGCCCATCTGAAGAGTTTACACACTGTATGACACCAACTACAGGATATTCTAGAAGCAAATTTAGAGACAGTAAGATTGGTGATTGTCAAGGAATGAGGGACAGGGAGTGGGATAAACAGGTAAAGGAGGATTTGTGTGTGTGTGTGTGTGTGTGTGAAGGATTAAAGCTAGGGCCTTGCACATGTTAGGCAAGTGCTCTACCAATGAGCCACACCCCCAGTCCTTTTTAAAAATTTTATTTGGAGACAGAGTCTTGCTAAATTTCCCAGTCTGGCCTAAAACTTGTAATCCTCCTGCCTCAGTCTCCAGAGTAGCTGAGGTTACAGGTGCATACCACTATCCTGGGCACAAAGGGTTTTAGGACAGTGACTATTCTATTTGATTTTATACTGGTGAATACATGGCATTATCAATTGCTCAAACACATAAAACTGTACAACAGAGTGAACCCTAATGTAAAGGCTCTTGTTAATAGTAATTTACGGATATTAGCTGATCAAATTTAACAAATGTGCCACATTAATGTAAGATTTAAATAACAGGAAAAACTGCATAGGGGAGAGCAAAGTTAGGTATAAGGGAACTCTGTACTATCTGCTCAATTTTTATAAGTTTAAAACTCCTAAAAATTTAAGTTTATAAATTTCTTTAAAATTCATATGTGTGTGTATGTAGTTGTGTCTTTTGGGGAGAGGGACAAGGTCTCACTATGCAGTTCAGGCTGGGCTTGAACTCACTTGTAGCCCAGGCTGGCCTTGAACTCTCCACAATCTGCCTCAGCCTCCCAAGGGCTGGGATTACCGGCATGTGCCACCACAGCCAGCATGTGTATCTTTTTTCATGTGGTAAATGCCTTACACACTAAAGGTGCTCAGTAAAGCACAATACTACAACTATAGTCTTAGCCCAGTAGCTAAAGTTAAGAGTCAAGTTCTGTGATGGGCAAGTCTGCTTCTGATCTACTACTACCATTTCAAGCTATATGGCCACATTTATGCAAATTATCTCCTCCCCTCCCCTCCCCTCCCCTTACTAGAAATTAAATCCAGGGCCATCCCACTGAGCTACATTTCCAGCCCTTTTTTATTTTTTATCTTGATGCAAGTTCTTGCCAAATCGCTAAATTGCACAGGCTAAGCACACATTTGCAATCCCCCTGCCTCAGCCTCCCAGAGTTCTGGGATTACCCACATGCACCCCCATGCCTGGAACAAATTACCTCTGTAGCTTTAGTTTCTCCATCTGCAAAATCAAAGAAAGCACAGTAATTCTTCCTACGGCTGTTGATACAATTCACATAAAGAATTCTGCATGGAAAATGCTTAGCACATGGCCTAATATAAACGGAAGGCTCAAAATGTTAGCTGTCACCATAATGGTAAACTGATTATTCATGGAATGACTGATGTGACGCTTCAAATTCCAAGGTTATTCATTCCACTATCAACATCTCAATAATACCCCAACAGGGCCAAATTCTCATTACTAAACAGTCCCACTTTGAACACAACCCACATTGCCAACACACTTTCGCCATTCTTTATTCCCAGATGCTACTTTTTCCCTTGCTAGGCCTTACATTGCACGCTCAGGCCCTGGAACACCGCATCGCAGCAACCTCTCCATCCCACCTGGACCCGTTCCCGCTCAGACCCTGACCCCGCCTCCTCCCCAGACCCCGGATTAATTCGTCTACACTTCTTTCCTTTCCCAGAGTTGAAGGAAGCTCCTACCCAGATACTCATAGTCGGGTTGGGCTAGGCGCTCGGGACTCAGCATCCTTTGACCCGGGGAGCTTCCAGGGTGTAGCTCTCGGGCTTCCGGAAGCCAGATTGCCTGCTCTCTCCGTTGCCATGGCACCCAGGCGGCGGGAGGAGAGATGCAGGCAGAGGGGGTGTAGCGCAAACAGTCTCCGTGCTGCAACGCAGAGCCAGGCAAGCAAGTTCCGGCAGCAGTCGCTTCGCGGCGGTCGAGGTTTCTTGGAACTCATACTTGTGGACTTGGTTTTAGAGGAATCTGAGGTGGTGAATCCTTTTTGAATCTGTCATATTTCCTGATTTCGAAGAATTACTGTCAGCCGTCCATATCTGCAATTTCTGAACTGAATAACTGTTCCTACTTTATACACCTTTTTCCCTAACAATATTTCCACCCACGGTCTCTTATAAGCACCTAGTATCCTAGAACCTGTTTCTGTCTCTTTACCTTAAATTACTACAAAGTGCTTTCATGTGCATATTATATTTTGGCTGCTTCTTGTATCTTTTAGTCTGTAATAGGCCTGGACATACAATAAGTGCTCATTAAGTCTATTAGTTAATTGCCACTTCCTCCCAAATTCCTCTTAGACCATCCTCCCACTCCTATCCCTTACTATTTGATCCCTTTCCCAAGTGTCTCCCACCCCACCCCCTTACTTCTGGAGGGGGAAACATGCAGAAATAAGGACACCTATTACATTTTTCCCTATGTGCCAAACGCTGCTTTCGTCTCCTTTAAGAGGAGAGAGCGCTCGTAGGTTTCCAAGTTCCCAGATGTTTCTCTTTTTGCTCCTCTCCACTCTCAACAACAGGTCAGAGATCTGTTGTCAGAGTTCAAACCTAGCAGGAAAAAAAGCCACTCTGTCCTCTCATTTTTAGTAAGTGCCTTCCCCCTCCAACAAGGTGAGGTTTTGTGAAAAAGAAAGAAAACCAATCGTACCATCAAAGGAATGACTGGGAAACCAGGAGACCACCTGCACTGGGAGGAGAAGGTTCTTTTCTTTGTGTTCTGAGTGTTCTATTCTTAGCCTCCTCAGCAAGGAGCCTCAAACCTCCTAATTCTCCCTTTCCCTTAAACTTATATATGTGTCTCAATTCTAGGCTCCTGTGAGTCACTCGAGTTTGGATGTGGTAGGAGAAAAGGACACAGCCAAACTAGGAGCAGTGTTTAGTATTTTGAGGTAATGAATTCACTAATTTGGAATTGGATGTGGAGTCCTGCAAATCTGACTAAAAACTATTGCCTTCTCCCCAACCTTCCACCAGTTCCCTCCTTGCTACTTGAGGGTATAGGAGTTCTGTAAATTTCATATCTGTGACTTATTATGATAATATTAATAAGGTAATAGGGTAGTAATTACTTTTGTTTGTTTTTTCATTTTTCTTTTTTTGGTACCGGGGATCGAACTCTGGTCCTTGTGCTTGGGAGGCAGGTGGTGGAACCACTGAGCTAAATCCCTGGCCCTTTTGTTTGTTTTTTGAAACAAGGTCTCACTATATATTTCAGGCTGGCCTTGAACTTGTGGCAATCAATCCTCTTGCCTCAGCTACCAGAGAGCTGGGGTTCCAGGTAAGCTCCACCATGCCCAGTGTTAGGATAGCAATTATTAAAGATCATTTTACTTTATTCCCAAACAACTTGAAGCTATTTGCAGATAATTTCATATGCCCTCATGAAAACTTTCTAAGGCACTTCCTTTTCCAGGTAGGGAAACTGAGGCACGAGTCACAAAAGCAACTTGTCTGGTATAATACCTCCATCCAGTCAGTAGGAGAGCTAGAACTGGATCTCAGCTATCCCAACATCCAGATTAGTGGCTGACCACTAAACCACACAGCCTCTTTTTTTAGGTGTTGTTGGCTTGGTGTTTATTTATTTTCCCTTTTACTCTGCCCTGCTAGCAACTGGAAGCTCCCAGATAAAAAAGGAGAGAATTTTGAGTTCGGGCTGAACATTTGACATCCTCTTATTTACAAAGCATTATCCTGGGACTTGGAGGGTACTGCTACTGGGGTCTGTGTGGTGAGGCTGGGACCAGCCCCAAGAATACAGCTTTGTTCAGGCATTAACCCATTTGTGGTTATAATAATGATAAGTTTCAGCACCAGTGGCGCCCGACTGTTAATGACTCAAAGAAAGCTAAATAAGAACAAGATGTCATCTCTGGAGCAATTTGTAGGTTTTTCCTACAGTTCTATCCTTTCCATAAAAACCCTAAGGACCATTATATTTAGTTGGTCTTCTACTCTGATGTCTTGGACAATCTACAGAGGAGGAGCACTTTGAAAGGGATAGGAAGTTGCTAGACTAAAGCTTCTAGAAGATGTGGCATTTCACAGAAATAAAAGGTGACTTTCTTACTGACTGTATTTTGCTTCTTTACATTTTTCTACATTCTTAAGGTTTTCTATAATGGGCATGTATTATAATCTGAAAAAAAGCAAGCTAATGAGTGGCATGCAAGTCTTTAAAATATTTTTAGGCAGATGTGATCTTTCAGATAGTGTTTGTTTTTCTCAAAAAGAAGCACTACTTTCCAGTCACAGATTACATAATAACAGATTTTGGCAACACACTGGTTGTGGAGAAAATTTTCAGTGAAACATAAACGTCAGTCTTAAGAAAAAGGGAAATGCTCAAAAGTTCTTAAAGTCAAGCATATTTGTGTGATTCTGTTGAATGTCAATGAAAGAACAAAATGTCAACCTACAATTTAAATGGATTTTTAGGTTCCTAAATCATCATTTTATATTTCTAAAAAAATTTATCAGTACAAATACCCAAGCAATCCAATAAATCAGAAGACAACCCCATAATCCTGAAAAGAATCAAGTGCTATGAAATTGATATATCAAAAGTAGATGAAGGCCAAGGATGTAGCTCAGTTATAGAATGCTTATTGCTTACCCAGCATGCATGAGGCCCTGGGTTCAATCCCCAGCAGAGCCAAAAAAAAAAAAGAGTGACATGTTACATGCAGTTCTACAGCATAAAGAATGGAAACATCAAACTCAAAACAATGAGAAAAAGACCCATAAGAGAGAATATTTGATGTCAATTTATCAGATTATAATTTCTGATTTTATAAAGAGAAAATTAATAGAAATTTTAAATCTTTGCCTCTGCAGAAGACCTGTTAGATTGATAGGAAAGAAAATCCTCCCTGTAACTGAAGACTACAGAAAAGCAAACATGAATGTTCAAAATAGTTTTAAAGCTCAAGGAAACTAAGAAAAGAGTAAGTGCAGGATAAATTATTGCTACAAAACAGGTTCAAGAAAACTAGGACAAGCTTTTATCAACTCATCATGCAGAAAAGATGCTAAAGGCAAAGTAGCTACTAAGAAATGCAGGTCATGAAATTCATGCTGAGCTGCCAGGCTCTTCTCTAAAAACTTATCTTCCCCAAGAGCAAAATAGGAACTAAGTATAATCCCACTGCCTGGGATTAATATGTTTATATTAAAATCATTTGGAACTGCCACAAATCCACAGAACAGAGTTTTGGGGAAATCTGTAAATAAAAAGAAATTTTCATGAACTCTTGGGCTGTAAAGAATAATGAATGCAGTATAAGAAAGTTGCTAAAAGGACATGCTTATATTGAACTGGACCTCAAAGGCAATTACAAACTTGTACCTGCTTATTTTATATTTTCAAATACTGCAAAAGTTGGGAATTACATTTTCATATAGTTTGAAAGATAGGAAGATTTTCTAATTTTTCTTCAGACCCCACAAAATTTCACTACATCTTTCTCTGTCCTAGAGTATGAGCTTTGATGAGCAGTTATGTCTATTATTATTATTCTCTAAGCTGTTCTAGGTTGTGGTTTCCCTGAAGCCAAAGACTGTTTCCATTCATCATTTTTTTGCTGTTGTTGTTAAATTCTTTTATTGGTACATTGTAGGTATACAACACAATTACATTTCTCATTGAGAACTTGTACCTTTACATGATGCATCTTGGTTCTT